AAGCAGTGGTAGATGCTCCTGCAATTCAGATTAGTATTAGTTTGTCTTGTATCTTCCTTCTGTTCAAAAAAAGTTGCATCAAGAGGTAATCTTTGCTTAGCATGAAGGCTTTCTTTTCCCTTTTCAGTAGTTAACCTGCTCAAGCCAAGGTCTGAACAGCAGTAAAATAACACTTAAGAGATTTAACTCTTTGGAAACTTTCTTCTCTTGGGAATCATAGGTTCTGTTTTCCAAGCCTGGTCAGCTTGAAAACCAGCACGTTAACTAAAGACCTTTTCAGATGGCCTTGGCCTAGGAGTTGAATTCTCTTGAGCAAAATCTTGCAGTTACAGCCTGTGTTTGTGGCTCCTTCCAAGAAGGAGCTGCAGGGCGATGCCCCTGCAGAGGGGAAGGTGCGAGTGCCTCCCCGCTGCCGCAGCCCTGCGGGGGCATCCGAAAAACTGCCCACAGCAGAAAGCCGGAGCTTGCAGCTGCTGCCGAGCTTATCTTCTGATTTCAGGGTAGGCCCGGAGCTTTGTTTCGTGTTCTGTGTTGCCGGTACAATGGATGAGCTGCAGCCCTGTTCACCGAGATCTGCGCTCAGCAGTTATCTTGCCTCGGCAGCTGCTGTGGGTTAAGGTGCATGTGGCTGGTGCTTCCTGCAAGGTGCAAAGCAGGAGCTTGGGTGCCAAGGGAGACTAGCAAAGAAGGCAACGTAGGGAAGTGGCGAAAAGGGTTCTGACAAAAATGCCTCGACTCCAGGAGTCCTCCCTTGCAAGCAGCTGGAGCCTTGTCAGCCATGCTGCGCTCGTGGACATCAGAGCGGAGCCTCCAAGCGTTTGTGCTGCATCTCAGTCTTCCTGGAAAAGAGAGCAGTTTGGCAGGGCCAAAGCCTTTCTTTCGTAAGCTTTTGACCCTGTTGTACTATTAATACTCAGATTAGTTAAAAGGCAGCACTGCTGACAGTTCTGAAGGTGTTGTGTAATTAAAATTATACTTTGCTTGAGTGTGTTTTTTGTTTTCTGTTTGGGTGTTTTTTTGTTTGATTGTTTTTCTTCCCTCCTCCTTCCTCTTTAACAACCTTCTAAATCTGGTTGCAGCCTAGGCTGGAGCAGAGGAGGATTTCTGAGGAAGTTTCCTCTCCCAGATGTTTTAAGCTGTGGTAGGAGGATGACTAAGTCTGGGTACACCCAGACATTTCCCTTTGGACACACCTAAGCACACACTTTCCAGGAAGACGATCATGCCACCTTCCAGTCTGGGCGGAGAGAAAATATTAAGGCAGACTGGGCCTTAACATCCCTAACACCCTCCTACAGTGCCTTAGTGAGGCACTTCAGCAGCACGTTCTCCTAGGATGATTTCTGTACTGCTAAATTAAGCTTCTCTGTTTCTTTGTTCCCTGCTAGCAGATGTGCATTAGTTGTAGACAGTAGAGGCTGTTGCCTATTTTTACACTCAATTAAAGTGTAACTTCATCGCTGGGGCCTCTGCTGTAAGAGCTACAAGTCCGGCAGTGATCCAGACTGATTAATTGTCAGCTTAATGTCTTTGGCAGAGGCCTTTGGTGCTGCTGCGGAGCACAGTCGGGGCACTGCTGCACACTGTGATGGGGGAAGGATTTAGGGTTCTTTGGTGCCATTCCCATAGTCGAGCTCCTTTGGTGACAGAATTAGCCCTCGCTGTATGGGCTGGCATGTGTAAGAGGTCCAAAGTAAACTCCCTGCAGTGCTGCTTGGGCGTGAGGCTCAGCAGAAATGTAGCAAATTGCAGCATCGCGCTGGTTGCTGCTGGGGAAATGAGTGGGCTGGGCATTTTCTTTCTCTTCAAAGAGGCTGGTAGGCTGCAAAGTTTTGCTTGAAGCTTTTTTTCCCTTGTTTTGTTAATGAGCAAATTGTAAATATTGTGGAAGGATAAAAATGCAAAAGAAATGGCTTCTGCTGCCGAGTCGGCTTTAAAGGAGTCCTTCAGCCCATTTGATGAAACCAGAAGTTTCCTTCAACAGTTGTGTCTGTTATAATCAAGCTGCTGGCTGAAGGCTTTTTCCAAACAAAAGAGCTTGTTTCTGGGGCCTTCTTAAAATAAGTGCTTGGTTTAGGTGGCAAAATTCTGACAAACCTCTTTCCGGTGAGCAATTCTTGAAATGCTGAGGCTGTGAATGTGAAAGTTCCTGACCCTGCTACCAGCAGCTTTGCTCTGGGAACGCAATGGGTCAATGTGCTGCTGCTGCGCTGGGTGTGTGTGCAGCAAGGTGATGCTTCGGCTCAGGAACAGAGCAATGCTGCAGAAAATACTCATTTGGGGAATCTATGGTGGGATATTAGGACTGAGGAGGGCCCCTGGTGCTTCCAACTGCTAGTGGCCCGTGGCAATTGAGTAGAGCTCCTCTGAAATAACCCCCCTGAAATGTAGTTAGTGTTGATGTTGAGTCTCTGGCACCACTTGTTTTGCTGCACTGATCTCTCCTACTGCGTTATGGTATTTGTTGAAGTAGATGCAGCCAGGATGAAACTCGTGCTTCCAATTTTGACTATGGGCCTTTTTCCAAACTGAAGGAACACGGTTTCAGTTCTCATCAGAAATGACAGATGCTGAACACAGCTTTTGCATGAGGTTTGTATTAAACGCAATCAGTGGAGGAATGCTGCCTAATAAGACTCGAACAGGCAGTAAGGGCTGTTGCCAGCGGACAGACAGGGCACCTCCTTGGTACCTACCAGATGCCTTGCGAGCGTTTCACTCTTGTCCTCACCCCACATGTGCTGGTGAGATAAACCTTAAATATAAAGGTTCCTTTTTTTTTTTTTTTTTTCCCCCCCCCGCTAGGGAAACTGAGCAGAGCACCTCCCTCATCTGGTGCCCTTATTTAACCCTGGTCACCAAAGCATTTGAAGCTTATGTGTACACACTGACAGCCAAAATCAATGCCTGTCTTTATAATGTTTGTTTGCAGTGGCTTTAAATAAACACTGTACAGCCAAACTGTACAGTGGACAGTAGCTCTTGGCTAATAACTAAGAAGTTATTACAAATGTCTTTTGGATTTAGCTTGTATAAGCTTAACTTCCCCTTCATTTTGGACAAAGGTAATAATCTATTATGCCTTCCCAAGCCCTACTGGCACTGTATGTATCAATGGGTGGAGGTACTGAGCCAGGTTACCACAGTGTGTTTAGAGAAGAACTGTCTGTGAGAAATTTTGTGATAGTGATGAACTGGATGTGGGCTGCAGAAAACACTGTGGAAACCTCCCCTGTGCTGAGCTCTGCAGCAGCACTGTCCTTCCCCTTGTAGCTGCTCGCAAGGCGGCTCTGCCGCTCGTGTCTTGGGCAGGTCTGTGGCTGGAGTTCACGGAGAAGTGAAAGGCCTGGGTAGCTCATAAATCTTCCCTTCTGCTGTTCTGCCAAGGCCAGCAGGGATCCGAGGGCTTCGAATGCTGCTGAGAATTTTCCCCCAGTGTTTTGTCATGTCTGAAGCTTGCGATGATGCCTGGGGTCTCCTGTGCTGACTCCCTAGCTTCGTGCTTTTAAGCACAAACTGTTTCTCGGCTTTATCTGAAGCACGTGTAAAAGTGACTGGCTTAGCTGTTGTAAGTGTGGGGCCTGGAAAACAGGGCCTGTCTAATGCAGTTCTTGTCATTTGACAAAGGTGCTCTTGAAGTATTGCAGAAAACTGCTTATTAGGCAAACAAGGAGACCTTTTAAAAAGTTCAGCTTGGCTTGGTAGTGAGGACAGTTGCAAGTCAGGAGTTGCCACCCCTGCATCTGGTGGCGGTCTTGAAGGAAGGAAACCACTGTGGTAAAGCTGCTGGGCTGCCAGGTATTTGCGTGCACCGTTTGGGGCGCGTGGCCTGTTCTGCTGCAGCTCCAGCAGCCTTTTGGCCTGCACGTAGTTCAGCTTCCTGACCTCTCACCACCCTTCCAGCACCCAGTCTGCCCACGTGCGTCTGAAACCCCAGGTATTGAGTTGTAAAGTTAGACAAGAACTGCAAGAGAAGGGATAGAAGGTGACGAGGACTGGAGGTGCTGACCAAGGCAGTCAGGCGCAGGCTTGGCAGGTGGCAAGTCCTGTGGGCGGAGCCAGGTGAAAGGAGCTCAGAGCAGGCAATGGAAGCTGATGCAAAGCTAAAACACTGGTAGCATGGATACTGAGACTTTGTGAAATTTTAATGAAGCTGAGAGGGGGAATTGGATAGGCAGGTGCGAGCTGAGGAACTTAAGGAAAAATTTCTTAACAGTGAGGGTGACAGAGCACTGGAACAGGCTGCCCAGAGAGGTTGTGGAGTCTCCTTCTCTGGAGATCTTCAAAACCCGCTTGGATGCAGTCCTGTGCCACGTGCTTTAGGTGTCCCTGCGTATGCAGGGGGGTTGGACTGGATGATCTCTAGAGGTCCCTTCCAACCCTAAGCATTCTATGATTCTATGATTCTATGAGAGGGGGAATTGGATAGGCAGGTGCCTAAATTGTCTGTATGCAAAGGCAGGCTGCCCTGGAGCTGCAGAACTGTAGGGGATTTGCTCTGCCATCGCTTTCGGAGCTTCTCCACAGAGCCAAGTTACTGCTGCCTACAGTTGTCTGGAATAGGGCCTTGTGCTGGGAAGTGATTTTTAGCATTTAGGGTTTCATGTCGTGACTCTGCCCAGCTTTTTTTTCTGTCTGTTGATTGTCATGATGATTCAGAAAGTCTTAGCCAGTCCTCAAACCACAGGTGAGTCCCTTAACGTGCCTTTCCGCCAAAGAGCAGATCCCATCACTTGCATGTGGAAAGGTCCCATCATTCAGACGGGTGCTGCTTGTGTGGGCCTGCCTGCTATGAAGGACCATGTTAAATACAGAAATGATCAAGAATGGGATAGTTTGCCAGCATCTCCACGGCTAATCCCAGGAGCTGGAAAGGAACATGAAGACCCAACCCACAAGAAGAGCAATTTGCTTTGTCGAATGAATGCTGTGAGAGGAATAACATGTTTAAATTGGTGTGAAATTGTTCTCTTATTGTTTTCTTTTCTTTTTTCCTCCAGGAACTGGCAAACTCTGTCTACTTGGTTATGGAGGTGAGTACTTTTGTTAAACTTGTATTTAGCAGACCAGCTCCTTACACAGGTAGTTCTTCCCGATGAGTCTGACCTATGGTGCTTTTGCCAGCCTGTGTACTTGTGAGAACTGTAGCACTGCAGGTGAAGCTGGCAGCCAGCAGGACTTCTCCTAATACTGCAGTCACAAGGTCCTGCTGGCACAGGTTTAATCAGCCAAAATTCTTATCTCGAGGGTAAAAGGGATGTTATGGGGTAGTATCCCCTTCTAGATACATGGAAGAACTGTCTCCACACTGGCTGCAAAGCTCATAAACTTCTTATTTGCACTGCGGTCTTCGCTCTGAATTCTTGTTGACTTTCCTTAATGACATGGAGCATAATGTGGGGAATTTCAATATTCATGTATAACTGCTCCAAGGTTTTCCTCAACCAGTTTTCCTCTGGTCTTTCAAGTGGTCCTTTGTTTTCTGAGTCTCTTGCACACGTGCGCGGGCACACGTACAAAAGCCAACGTATGCTGATATATCATAACAGAGCTTAACATATAGGGGAAATGTGACAAGACAAGCCTACCAGAATAATTTTTTTCTATCATCCTCTGAATAAGCATTTTGATATATCCGTGTTTGTTTATATTTAAATATTATGAGTAGCCTGCAATCCTAGAGGAGTTTTTTTTCTTTAAAATCTTTGCTTCCCTCGTGCTGACTGACCTTTGTGTTCTCTTTCCAGTACTGTAATGGTGGTGACCTGGCAGACTATCTTCACAGTAAGTACAGCAGTATGGAGAACATCCTCTGTATTTGGAAGAAATCAGTAGCTGTTCTAGCTTGTTAAAGTTGCTGGGGTTTGTGAAAGATCAGAGTAAGCAGATGGGATCTCTTTATTTTTCAAGAGCTGAAAACAACAGTTATCATTGCTCCTCTTAGAGCTTCACCCTTGGTAATCATTTGAAAACTGAGAATTCAAGGCGGTAACATGAGGTGGATGACTTGTCTTTGCTATATAGGTCAGTAATGACTGAAGGGTATGGACTGCTGTCAGCAGTTACCTATCTATTTTGGTTATGGTGGCCAAAAAAGTGTTGAAACAGTTTTACTTTGCCAGTGGTATGGTTTGTCTGTTTCTTGATTTAAAGGAGGAAAAAAAAAAAAAAAAGAAGACATAAAGAAATAAAAATACTTGTTCAGGCCTTGTATCTGTACGGTTTGATCACGTGAGGTTCCAAGAATATTTGATTTGCTTTAAATTGTCCTCTGAGAATGTTCCCATGCCCGTAACGGAACACATTTGTTACTCCACTGGACAGAGCTGTCTCCAACTTGTAGGCTGGAAGCCAGTGGTGGTTTGAGGGGGACAAGAACTACCAACTCTAAGATCTTTCGGGCAGCACAGAGCAGGAGGCAGACAGATATCTGTAACCAGGATGCCTTGAGGAAGCTTTTAGTGGAAGTGAAGAGCCCTTTTGCCATGAAATGGAATGAAATGTGTGTTGCAGGTTATCCACCTGCAACTTGGGCTTTAATCTCACTGCTTGCCTGACTGTATTTTTTCCCCATTTAAAAAAAAAAAAAGCCTTTCTTGTTGCTTTGCATATTAACTAGGAGATGTAAGTTATCTCTTCATATTTAGTTACTAATCTCACTTCTTGTGTAGCTGTGGGTCATGATTAAACCAGGTTTGTCCATACTGTAAAAAAAAAATAAAAGCTAGGTAATACATCAGGCTCTTTATTAAAGGTGCATGATGCCTAGAAACTGTGAAAATTGAAGGGTTGGAAGCTAAATTTACATTTGCCCTACAGCAAGTGTTAATATCCCCAGAATGATTATTTTGGGCTTGATGCTCCTGTTGTGTATTCAGTTTGTACAGGGCAACGAATTATATTTGTGGATATTTTTGTTTGTTTTTAGAAAGGATTTTGTACTTGAAAAAATAAAAGGATTATTTTGCCTTTCATAGGTTTTATATACTTAAAATACAGATGAGTCAGATGCGCCAGTTTCTTGTGTTTGTAAATTCAGGTTTTGTGCGCTTTGTCTTAGTTAAGTGATAATGTTTTGCATCCATTGTACTTTAAAGAGCTTCTTTTCTAGTAGTAGGACAGTGCTATGAATATCAAGTGAAAATATTTTTGTATATGTATATTTAATTTTCAAAATGTGTTCAAAGAAGAGGGGGAAAAATAGCCTATGAAAACAATGAAATGCTCTTAAAAACAGTCAAGCTTGGCCAGGGCCAGGCAAGTTTCACACAGAGGATGGGCAGTGAGTGATGAGTGGAGGCTGGGGGTCAGCTGGGAGCTGGGGCTCCGTTTCTGTTAACTCTTCCAGGCTCTGCAGCTAAACTTAAAAGCTCCAGGTCTGTGTCGGAGATGTTTGCATGTGAGGCAGGTTTGTTTTGTGAGGATGGGGGCACGCCGAACAGGTAATAGTGTTCTTCCCCCGTGAGGGAATTGGTGGCATTTTGTGCCCTGTCATTAAATATAGCCCAGTTAAAACACAGAGAGGACTTTTCTAGTTCTCGTGCATGTGAAGAGAGGACAGTGACAGTAAAGCCTGAGCTGTGCCCGCCTGCTGCTGGAGCTGTGGGTGTAAATGGGAGAGCAGAGCCTCTGGCTGAATGGCCAGCCCCTGCCCTGACTTTAGGGGAAAATCTGCCTGTTCAGAGCACTGTTTCCATGTGGACAGCACGGTGTTTTCATTAAAGTGCGCCATGCTGCCCAATTAACTGAGTTATTAATAACGCTCACTTCCTTGTTCATCAAGTGAAACTACTTGGGAAATCGGTGGCTAGTTTGAGAAAGTGACAGTGAATTATTTTTGCCAGATAAAATACTGGCAATGAATTATATTTGTCAAATAAAAGACTGTTTTACCCCAGCATGGGTAGTTTGAAGGTTGGCTGGGCTAATGCTTCATCCTACTTCATCTGACTTAATTGTATAGAAGTTAAATTGATCTCGTGATCATGAAAAATACTTGGAATCTTATATTGGAAAGTTCAGATTTCTTCCGTGGTGCATTGCTGGTATGCAGGACTCTCATTTCTGCTGAGCAGTTACTGAGCTGCTTCAGCTGTTTGAGTAATTGTCTGATGGTTTTTAATTGCCAGGTGTACTTTCCCACTGGCTCCTCGGACGATTTTGCTGGTCGTTGCTGCAGCGCTTACGCAAGCTGCACATGCAGATCCCCTGGCTCTCATTGAACGAGATGCCTGAAAGCTTCCCAGTCCGTTCTGCCCTCTAATTACAGGCGTTAGGCAACATGGTAATTCTGTGTTGAATCAAAAGACTCCCTAATTCTTGTCTTTGTAACTGGAAGACGTGCATATGTGCACGTTTCCATGCACTATGCATTTCTGTTGGATTTCTGTATCAGCCTCATCTCTTTGATACAGCCTTCTATGAGTGTTTGTGTCCTCTTGAAAGGAACCACCCTGTGTTTCTTTTAAATGTTGTGATGCTTTTTCTTGTGGATCACTGTAGATGTTGGCTTCACTTAAAACACACTGAACATGAGCATGACAGATCTCTGCAGCGTATGACAGAGCTGTGGAGAGTACTGCAGGAGTTACTATTCTCACTACAGGAATAACCGGATCTAATTCTGGGCTCCTGATGGTCAGGAGGTCAGATCAGGTTGATATCTAACATTCTCTCTTTAAATTCCCTGACATGAACAGTAATGAACAGTTCATAAATGCATATTTCTGATCTTTCTAAAAAGCTGCTTCCTGGCAAACTAGTCTCTGTGAAGAGAACTTCACATCTACGATTAGTGTGTCTTTATTAAATAGACTGTGACATGCATAAGATGTAACTTTTCTCTTAGATTATTGAATCCTCAATGATCTTGGCGGCTGTCTTGCAAATCAAAGGTACAAGGCATTTCTTTAGAGCTTTTCTCCTTACAGCAAGGTAATTAAGAGTAGCTATGAGAAGAGTGGATCTATCCAGAATAAGTCTTCTGGTTAGTACAAGAGACTGTTTTAAGGGTCATACTCCTGGTGTTTGGGGTGGATGGAGCCCAGGGAGGATATGAACCATGATGGGCCCCAAACAGGCCAGCCTGGTTTCTTTGACTTCAGTCCAATTGAGATCAGACCCACATTAAGGTGATACTTGTGAGCAGTCGTTACATTGCTGAGCAGTGCTTTCCAAGTGGCTTTTTAGGTGATTTCCACCTTTTTCTGTGCCTCAAGATCTACCAGGCACACAGCCCTTGCACTGACCTGCTGTGAATATTTGTTCTGCTCTCCTGACCTGTGTAGCGGCCGTTCCCGGGACAGAAAGCTGAGTGTCCTGGCCTCGAGTGCAGCCCATGAAAATAAACACAGGGATATTATTACTTCCCAGTAATGGCAGAGTCAGGCTTGGGAAGCAGCAATCCCTGCGAGATGCGTTGCTGACTGCAGACGTCCAGGGGGATGCCCAGACTTCAATGCAGAATTAATGTCCTGCAGAAAATTTTCTGTGGAGATGAGAGCTGGCCCCTCTTGGTAGCCACCGAAGTGCAAGCTCCATGTTTAGGATGGGATAGGAAAGCAGTCATGTTCTCTGCATTTGTTCTGGCAACACCTAAACCTTCCTGTATGTTCTCCCTGCTGCTGCTGATGGGTGGTTGGCCTGTAAAACTTTGGCTGACCAGTATGTGACTGTTCCAGACTTTCAGAAATCGTGCTAGTGGGGTATGGCTAGTGTTGTTCCTTCTGACTTTGTGGGAAGAAGCCCTGATGTGCCTGGTAAGACTGAAGCAAACTAGAAAGCCATCAGAAAGACTGGAGGGGGAGACTGAGATTCTCAAGGCCTCTGAAGTGTCTCTTGTGTTTATTCCTTTATTTCTCTGTCCTTCAGCTGGAGCTTGCTGCTGCCCTTCCCTGCACTGGTGGGCTGGCTATGAGAGAGAAGGCCCCAGGCTGTGTTGTGGCGAGTCTGTTCCTGGCGGGCGGTAAAAGGGGATCTCCCTGCGAACCTGCCTTCCCAGCGCATTCCCCGTGGGAAGCGGCAGCTCCGCGGTG